GCAGCGACCCAAGTCGAAACCAAAGCGTGCTGGACTCGTGGTTTCTCGCGGATTCACCAACGGTCACAGACGTCGGGGCGTTTCCATCGGCCGCGGTACGTGTGGTCCGCTCGATCGACGACATTGCGACTGTGTTATGACGCTGCTGCCGTCCAGGGCTACACGGTGAACATCCGCGACAACTATGCCGGATCAAACTTGATCTTGCACCTGGTCACAAAGACTACGACCGTCGACATGCTCAACGTGACGATCTTGATCCGGGCTGATGGGCTGCCGACTGAGTCTATTTATGACTACAAATTGCTCGGTCGCGATGCGGCAGCGCTGCCAGCCAACAAGGCCAAGACGTTTCTCGTCTTCAATGAGAATATGCTACAACAAAGAATGCAGACGAAAACGTTGTACACGGTGGCGTGGCCGATGCTCCGGTTTCCGGCCTTTGGCAAATGGAACATTGTGGTCCAAACATCGCAACCGCAGTAAAGAGACACTGCCCGCGCGATGTCGATCCTGACCGGCGTCTACGTAGACCGTGGATGCACATGCTCGTGCTGCAAAGCTCCCCGTGCCCAGTCGGCATGTGCGGCGAGTTCGGCACGTGCAAAGTCTCGACAACGTATCAAGGTCTCGTCATCGGGCGATGCCAGTGCATCTATGGGTACGCCGGCGACTACTGCGACCACTTGTACTTGGAAAACTACGAGTCGCGGTCGTACTTTTTGATCTTATCCAACTTTGCCATCCTCCCCGCGGCGATCGTGTCGTTTCAGCGGTCGTTGTATGGTTCGTACACTGTTTGTCACCACTTCAACGTCAATGTGTGAACGGTGCTCTGTGCTTGGGTAGTCGAAGCATTCTTGTTCATGTCGTTGGGCGTGATCTCGAGTGTGTACCACGCATGCGATATCAATTGGGTGTGCCTCGTGCAGTACTCGTACCTACAGGTCCGTGGAGTCAAATCGTTTCCCTTGAGCTCACTTCCCATGTCTTACCTCCACGTGTTGCTAGAAAATGGACTTCATCTTTTCGTTCAATTCGATCCTGCTGTGCTTGTTTCACCTTGCAGGCGTTCGACCCAAGCGAAAAGTACGTGTAAACGTCGTTGCGGAGCCATCTTCGCTGACGTCACACCACCAAGGCTATCATGCAATTCGTGGGACTCACTCTCCTCGTCATCTTGATCGCGATCGATCCAACCACCATGACCAACTGGCTCATCATTGGCGGCCTCGGTGGCGGCCAACTTGTGATTGCATGGACGACATATGTACTGTCTCGAGAGATTTTCACCGTCATCGATGCGTTGTGGTAATGATAGATTGTCTTGGCTCGAGTGGTCATGGGTCGAAGTACGAAAGTCCGAAGGTATGCTCAACTGTTCTGGTTGAAACTAATTTGGTCGTAGAATTCTGTACTCGTTCCTCTTCCTCAGTGGCAACTTCCATGTCCCTCTCTTGGTCCTTGGGGTGTTGCTATGGTCGTCAGGGCTCATTTGCTGGTTCCTCAATCGAGGGCCGTCGTACTGGCTGGTAAGTCGCCGCTCGACTGCGTTGCCCACGTTGACTGAGTCGGTTGTGCGCAATAGGAACACTCGCTGTGGCACATCTTCGCCATGTCGGCAGCTGGCACACTGATGGCTTGCCGAAAGAGTCAATGGTATAAAATCCTCGATGACCATGGCGTTGACGCCCTGCCACGCGTCCATTCGCCAATATCAAAACGCCCCTTCTTTGGCACGAACGAGAACCTCAATGCCTCTGGAAGCTGCATGGTGGCAGTCACGGTGACACCCGCATGTGCGACGCCAACGCAGAGCCGCGAACTCACCCTTGACCTCGGCGAGATTCAACAAGACGCCAGTCGCTAGTTGGCTAGTTGTTGGTCGGAGCGCCACGTCACGCAAATACGCAAATGGAGGCACAACTTGATGGGTTGGCATGGACATTTACTAGTAGTAATACAGAAAATGTCCCCAGTGATACTATGAAATATATTGAAATTTGTATTGCCAACAAAATATCCCTCAATGAGAATGGACAGTCAAGCCGAATGGACAGTCAAGCAGTATTGGGTTGACTTGAAGATTCATGATGATTGGTAGAAAATAGTCCCTTTCATCATACAAAGCCACGACGCAGGGTTGACTTGAAGATTCATGATGATTGGTAGAAAATAGTCCCTTTCATCATACAAAGCCACGACGCAGGGTTGACTTGAAGATTCATGATGATTGGTAGAAAATAGTCCCTTTCATCATACAAAGCCACGACGCAGGGTTGACTTGAAGATTCATGATGATTGGTAGAAAATAGTCCCTTTCATCATACAAAGCCACGACGCAGGGTTGACTTGAAGATTCATGATGATTGGTAGAAAATAGTCCCTTTCATCATACAAAGCCACGACGCAGGGTTGACTTGAAGATTCATGATGATTGGTAGAAAATAGTCCCTTTCATCATACAAAGCCACGACGCAGGGTTGACTTGAAGATTCATGATGATTGGTAGAAAATAGTCCCTTTCATCATACAAAGCCACGACGCAGGGTTGACTTGAAGATTCATGATGATTGGTAGAAAATAGTCCCTTTCATCATACAAAGCCACGACGCAGGGTTGACTTGAAGATTCATGATGATTGGTAGAAAATAGTCCCTTTCATCATACAAAGCCACGACGCAGGGTTGACTTGAAGATTCATGATGATTGGTAGAAAATAGTCCCTTTCATCATACAAAGCCACGACGCAGGGTTGACTTGAAGATTCATGATGATTGGTAGAAAATAGTCCCTTTCATCATACAAAGCCACGACGCAGGGTTGACTTGAAGATTCATGATGATTGGTAGAAAATAGTCCCTTTCATCATACAAAGCCACGACGCAGGGTTGACTTGAAGATTCATGATGATTGGTAGAAAATAGTCCCTTTCATCATACAAAGCCACGACGCAGGGTTGACTTGAAGATTCATGATGATTGGTAGAAAATAGTCCCTTTCATCATACAAAGCCACGACGCAGGGTTGACTTGAAGATTCATGATGATTGGTAGAAAATAGTCCCTTTCATCATACAAAGCCACGACGCAGGGTTGACTTGAAGATTCATGATGATTGGTAGAAAATAGTCCCTTTCATCATACAAAGCCACGACGCAGGGTTGACTTGAAGATTCATGATGATTGGTAGAAAATAGTCCCTTTCATCATACAAAGCCACGACGCAGGGTTGACTTGAAGATTCATGATGATTGGTAGAAAATAGTCCCTTTCATCATACAAAGCCACGACGCAGGGTTGACTTGAAGATTCATGATGATTGGTAGAAAATAGTCCCTTTCATCATACAAAGCCACGACGCAGGGTTGACTTGAAGATTCATGATGATTGGTAGAAAATAGTCCCTTTCATCATACAAAGCCACGACGCAGGGTTGACTTGAAGATTCATGATGATTGGTAGAAAATAGTCCCTTTCATCATACAAAGCCACGACGCAGGGTTGACTTGAAGATTCATGATGATTGGTAGAAAATAGTCCCTTTCATCATACAAAGCCACGACGCAGGGTTGACTTGAAGATTCATGATGATTGGTAGAAAATAGTCCCTTTCATCATACAAAGCCACGACGCAGGGTTGACTTGAAGATTCATGATGATTGGTAGAAAATAGTCCCTTTCATCATACAAAGCCACGACGCAGGGTTGACTTGAAGATTCATGATGATTGGTAGAAAATAGTCCCTTTCATCATACAAAGCCACGACGCAGGGTTGACTTGAAGATTCATGATGATTGGTAGAAAATAGTCCCTTTCATCATACAAAGCCACGACGCAGGGTTGACTTGAAGATTCATGATGATTGGTAGAAAATAGTCCCTTTCATCATACAAAGCCACGACGCAGGGTTGACTTGAAGATTCATGATGATTGGTAGAAAATAGTCCCTTTCATCATACAAAGCCACGACGCAGGGTTGACTTGAAGATTCATGATGATTGGTAGAAAATAGTCCCTTTCATCATACAAAGCCACGACGCAGGGTTGACTTGAAGATTCATGATGATTGGTAGAAAATAGTCCCTTTCATCATACAAAGCCACGACGCAGGGTTGACTTGAAGATTCATGATGATTGGTAGAAAATAGTCCCTTTCATCATACAAAGCCACGACGCAGGGTTGACTTGAAGATTCATGATGATTGGTAGAAAATAGTCCCTTTCATCATACAAAGCCACGACGCAGGGTTGACTTGAAGATTCATGATGATTGGTAGAAAATAGTCCCTTTCATCATACAAAGCCACGACGCAGGGTTGACTTGAAGATTCATGATGATTGGTAGAAAATAGTCCCTTTCATCATACAAAGCCACGACGCAGGGTTGACTTGAAGATTCATGATGATTGGTAGAAAATAGTCCCTTTCATCATACAAAGCCACGACGCAGGGTTGACTTGAAGATTCATGATGATTGGTAGAAAATAGTCCCTTTCATCATACAAAGCCACGACGCAGGGTTGACTTGAAGATTCATGATGATTGGTAGAAAATAGTCCCTTTCATCATACAAAGCCACGACGCAGGGTTGACTTGAAGATTCATGATGATTGGTAGAAAATAGTCCCTTTCATCATACAAAGCCACGACGCAGGGTTGACTTGAAGATTCATGATGATTGGTAGAAAATAGTCCCTTTCATCATACAAAGCCACGACGCAGGGTTGACTTGAAGATTCATGATGATTGGTAGAAAATAGTCCCTTTCATCATACAAAGCCACGACGCAGGGTTGACTTGAAGATTCATGATGATTGGTAGAAAATAGTCCCTTTCATCATACAAAGCCACGACGCAGGGTTGACTTGAAGATTCATGATGATTGGTAGAAAATAGTCCCTTTCATCATACAAAGCCACGACGCAGGGTTGACTTGAAGATTCATGATGATTGGTAGAAAATAGTCCCTTTCATCATACAAAGCCACGACGCAGGGTTGACTTGAAGATTCATGATGATTGGTAGAAAATAGTCCCTTTCATCATACAAAGCCACGACGCAGGGTTGACTTGAAGATTCATGATGATTGGTAGAAAATAGTCCCTTTCATCATACAAAGCCACGACGCAGGGTTGACTTGAAGATTCATGATGATTGGTAGAAAATAGTCCCTTTCATCATACAAAGCCACGACGCAGGGTTGACTTGAAGATTCATGATGATTGGTAGAAAATAGTCCCTTTCATCATACAAAGCCACGACGCAGGGTTGACTTGAAGATTCATGATGATTGGTAGAAAATAGTCCCTTTCATCATACAAAGCCACGACGCAGGGTTGACTTGAAGATTCATGATGATTGGTAGAAAATAGTCCCTTTCATCATACAAAGCCACGACGCAGGGTTGACTTGAAGATTCATGATGATTGGTAGAAAATAGTCCCTTTCATCATACAAAGCCACGACGCAGGGTTGACTTGAAGATTCATGATGATTGGTAGAAAATAGTCCCTTTCATCATACAAAGCCACGACGCAGGGTTGACTTGAAGATTCATGATGATTGGTAGAAAATAGTCCCTTTCATCATACAAAGCCACGACGCAGGGTTGACTTGAAGATTCATGATGATTGGTAGAAAATAGTCCCTTTCATCATACAAAGCCACGACGCAGGGTTGACTTGAAGATTCATGATGATTGGTAGAAAATAGTCCCTTTCATCATACAAAGCCACGACGCAGGGTTGACTTGAAGATTCATGATGATTGGTAGAAAATAGTCCCTTTCATCATACAAAGCCACGACGCAGGGTTGACTTGAAGATTCATGATGATTGGTAGAAAATAGTCCCTTTCATCATACAAAGCCACGACGCAGGGTTGACTTGAAGATTCATGATGATTGGTAGAAAATAGTCCCTTTCATCATACAAAGCCACGACGCAGGGTTGACTTGAAGATTCATGATGATTGGTAGAAAATAGTCCCTTTCATCATACAAAGCCACGACGCAGGGTTGACTTGAAGATTCATGATGATTGGTAGAAAATAGTCCCTTTCATCATACAAAGCCACGACGCAGGGTTGACTTGAAGATTCATGATGATTGGTAGAAAATAGTCCCTTTCATCATACAAAGCCACGACGCAGGGTTGACTTGAAGATTCATGATGATTGGTAGAAAATAGTCCCTTTCATCATACAAAGCCACGACGCAGGGTTGACTTGAAGATTCATGATGATTGGTAGAAAATAGTCCCTTTCATCATACAAAGCCACGACGCAGGGTTGACTTGAAGATTCATGATGATTGGTAGAAAATAGTCCCTTTCATCATACAAAGCCACGACGCAGGGTTGACTTGAAGATTCATGATGATTGGTAGAAAATAGTCCCTTTCATCATACAAAGCCACGACGCAGGGTTGACTTGAAGATTCATGATGATTGGTAGAAAATAGTCCCTTTCATCATACAAAGCCACGACGCAGGGTTGACTTGAAGATTCATGATGATTGGTAGAAAATAGTCCCTTTCATCATACAAAGCCACGACGCAGGGTTGACTTGAAGATTCATGATGATTGGTAGAAAATAGTCCCTTTCATCATACAAAGCCACGACGCAGGGTTGACTTGAAGATTCATGATGATTGGTAGAAAATAGTCCCTTTCATCATACAAAGCCACGACGCAGGGTTGACTTGAAGATTCATGATGATTGGTAGAAAATAGTCCCTTTCATCATACAAAGCCACGACGCAGGGTTGACTTGAAGATTCATGATGATTGGTAGAAAATAGTCCCTTTCATCATACAAAGCCACGACGCAGGGTTGACTTGAAGATTCATGATGATTGGTAGAAAATAGTCCCTTTCATCATACAAAGCCACGACGCAGGGTTGACTTGAAGATTCATGATGATTGGTAGAAAATAGTCCCTTTCATCATACAAAGCCACGACGCAGGGTTGACTTG